TCGGACATGCAAACAATTGGCAAAAGGCCGTCAAGACCCATTGCCAACCTCATCCAATCTCATGACAGCAGAAGCAGTAGGAAACGTTCCCCTTTTGTCCAGGTTTGATGCTTTTCAGGTGTTTTCTCAGAGTGTTCCTCAATTTGTTGTGTCAGAATCCAAGCATTGCTAAATTGATCTACTTCAATAGAGTGACTTGCGACATCTCCGAGACATCTCCGAGACATCTCCGTGTTCCCAGGAGATGCTGGAATTCCATGTGCTTCCCAATGAGGTTTGCTTCAATGCCGTCATCAGCGCCTGCGAGAAGGGCCAGCTGCGCCACCTCCGCCCACGTCCGTCCGGAGGCACCAGAGGCGGTCGGCCAGTCGGCTCCTTGCTGTGCGGATCCACCTGGAGCGGTCGAAGATCGGTCGATTACTGTTTGGAGAGAAGATGAGGAGTGATGAGAACTGGGATGGATCCAAGGGGTAATGGATGGTGGAGTTGAATGGTCTAACTACTCATGTTTGATGAGTTTTTGCAGAGCAAACACCTTTTTCGGGGTCACCAGGTGCTCGACTCTTGTCACCACTGAGACACTCAGTGTGACTCAGTGTGCTTTGTATAGACCTGGTCGACTCGCTTTCTTCCGTGTCACGAATAGCTGCTTCGCCGCTGGGAGAGCCTGGGGTGCGGGGCCGAGTCTGGAGCCTCCCGAATCGAAAAGATGCTCCGCTTTGGTAGTGATGTCTTTCTTCGCTTGACACTAGCAACAACCTGGTTTTGCTTTGAGATTCCACAGCCCTCAGCAAATTTGCATGGTGCAGGGACCTCACTTAGAAGAATCGTACAAAGCTGCTTGTGATGTTTGCATTCTAGTACGGAGTGAGTGGAGGAAGGAGGTACGGTATGGAATGCGTTTGCCAGGTCCTTCAGTGTTTCGCTGCTTCGTCCCTTGCGGCGTTTTAGATTTGCATCTTTTGCGCTCGCGCTTGTCTGCTTGCTTGGATGAAGCGGCCGAGCAGTGGCATGGCAGCAAGCAAAACTCTGTGTTGGTATCGCAGTGCTTGGCGTGCAAGCTTAGTGACATGGGAGGCACCTCCACCGATGCCTCCCCACGATTTGCCCTTAAGCATGAACATCCAGAAACCTGCCATCGTACAATATCGTGTCAAGGCAGCAACTGAAAATGCCGAGTGTTTTCATTTGTCATGAGAAATGGGTGGATTGACATTCTGGCTTGTAGCCTTGCAATAGGGACACGGTTCATTCTTCACTGACTATATTCGTCATGCAGAACCGACGACTCATGAGATTGATGAGTGAAAAGCGACGACTCAGTGACACGTCAACACCCAGGTTTTGCAAACCCCCCTTGGCCAAAGCATCGCCATGGAAGGGTCTCTTCTGCGTCGAGGCAGGGCGGCAGAATGCGGCTTTTGGGTCTTCCAAAGATTTGTTGAATGTGTAGTAGGTCTTTTTGGAATCATGTGCAAGAGACGCACCTCTGCATGATTTCTGCATGTCCAAATCACCAACCACTGCGCGCAGATGCCCAGGTCAAGGCTTTGACAGTGGAGAGTAGCGACAGCTTCTGGTCCAAGGGTGATGTGGACCTCTCCAGCTCTTCAAGCTCATTGGTTGAGAAGAACTTGGTTTTGACCTCCAAAGGCCAGCCTGCCATGGCCTGCCATGGCCTGCCATGTCGCTCCTTGTCCTCGTTTCTCGCTCCGTACCCAGAAGATGTGGAAACGAAACACACGACTGGGACGGTGACTGGGACACTTGTTCGTCGTGACCTTTGGGGGTCCGTGTGTTGTGACTTTGCGTGTCATGGAAGGATTGATCTCTCAGAAATCTCACTATATACACATCATGGCAGCATGGAATCATGCATGAAACCACTCAGTCGTAGTTGCAAATCTGTAAATTCTGAGCTTTGCAGTCGCAACGCTCCCAACCTGTGCCAGGTGAGCTGGCTCGAACACAGTGGCAGGAGCTGTTAAGTTCGGAGGAAGTGTGAATGGCAGTGGATTCTGCCGAAAGGGCGGCATGATAGCTGCCGAAAGGGCGGCATGATAGCTGCCGAAAACACATCGAACAGCTCTTAGCCTGTGTGTTCCTGGAAAGGTGCTTTTGTACAAAGTGACCATAAGTGAGACCTTCTTAAATCGAAGATCCTAAAGCGGCAAGAAGAAGTGACACTTGAAGTGTAAATGGTATGTTGATCGAGCCTCCCTGGTCTGAGTTCGAAGAGTTGCAAGAAAGGCAGTCCTAAAACCAGGTCCTTCACTGGTCTCTCTCAAAGATGATAGGAGCCGCTGGCCTCGAAACATGGCGTCCTCTTCTGGTTTTGCGATCTCTCGGGCCGCGGCGAACTGGGCCGCTCGTCTCCTGCGAACTGGGCCACGGAAGAGGTGGCGAACTGTGCAGTGCAGGAGCTCAAGGAGGAGATGCGAAAAGACCTGCGGTTCCCGGGCAAAGTGTCGTTTCTTGGAAAAAGGGACCTACAAGATAAGCGATGTTTGGATCCAGAAGAAAACAAAGCTTCACAGCTTCACGGCTTCACGTGGGATGATGAAGACGGCTCTTGGGCAGGTTGGGTTGACGTCTCTCTGAGCAGAAGAGACTCGGAGAGACTGTAATCTAGGGGTGCGCTTCAGATGTGTATGATCAGAGGTTCAGCTAAAGAAAGCAATTGGTCCACGCAGGGAATGATGTGTACCAGCAACACACCTCATCAATCTTCATCATTTGCATACTTCTATTTTACCACTGTCTTCAAAATGATATCCAGTAGCACCATAAGCAGTGGCTCATTCTTTGGACATTCGGCTGGCATTGGCAGGAAGCTCCTTGGGATCTGCAGACAATACCAGAAGATGTGCGCTTGAAGGTCGCCCATGACTTGCGCCAAGAAGGGGCGCCCGAGGGATATTCCTTCGATGGACACAGGTTGTGGACTCAGCATGTTCTGTGGATTGGAGATCAAAAGCATGGGCAGATGAAAGGCATTCTTCTTCCCCACAGGTAAGGCTGTCCAGACTAACTCGCTCTTGTTGCCTTACCTTCACACGCGGAGAGAGATGGATAGAGATCAATCCTTCATGCCACGATCGCCAACCTGGGTCCTTTTTTGGAACGGACTTGGCCCCAAAAGGCGCCTTGAGCACCTCAGCTCCAGGTATATCAATCAGGAAGACTACAGCTCCCAGCGGGATCATCCTTTCTTAGCAGCTTGGAGCAAGTTTCAGCTCGAACAGCTCTCAAGATCATCATAGATCATGGTGTTTCGAAGGTCAATGAAACTGTGATTCATCCTCCCCGTTCAAATGTCCTAAAGATACCGGTGGAAAAGGATGAGGTTCTGTAGCAGTGCTGCACATCATAGGCTCCGACAGTGAACAGCTGGATGGCCACCGAAGGCCACAGCGGAGCTCTGTGTCTTCTTATACTGTAGATTGCTTTGTTCAAACCTTTGGACTTTGGGCTTTGTCCTTTCGTCTCTGTTGTGTTCTCTTTGTGGGTCGCATTTGTTTCTTTCTTTAGACCCTTTAGACCTTTTAGACCTGTTGTTTTCCGCTTCTGAGCAGTCCGCTTCTGAGGCGCAACGACTGACGCAGTTGGCCTCAGAGCACAATGCCGCCCAGGCATCGCGCTGTCACCGAGCGCGCGAAGTGCTGGCCACTTGGGGACGAAACAGAAGGTTTGGACCTTCGTTTGGAGCTTCTGCTTTTGGAGCGTCTTCTTTTGGATACTCAAAGTTGACAATTGCTTTATTCAAGAACTGAGAGCTCATGAGAGCAAAGTTCAAGGGGCCTTCGGCTTTTGGCTTTGGGTTTATGAAACTCTACTAGAAGTTCTTTTTTCAGGGGAAACGGTCTTGTTTTCCATCAACTATAGGAGTGGGACATAGTGGGACCATCGATGATCCAAGCGGTCATCCCATCCTTCGCCGCTTCGCGCAGACGAACGTCGACGTCCAAGGCCTCTCCTCCCTTCACTCGACCGATGAGCCCCACCGGGCGGCCGAGCGCCGGACGGCCGCCGCGGCCGCCGAGCCGCTCAGGCTATCCACAGTGAGACCGGTCGGGAGAAGACAGCGAGCGAAGCTGCCATGTCTTTTTGTACAGCATGTTTCGAATTGACCGAATGAAACATCTTACGAGCAGCCAAACGGAACCTTTCAATCTTTCAAGTGCAAACCTGTGCATTCTGACGTAGTTTGACCTTCTGGAGCCAGTTGCTTTGTTGCCCGCTTTTTGATTTGTTTTGGCTAGGTGCATGGACTCCAATTCCGGCAATTACTACTCAGATCGGTTCATATAGCCTAGCACAATACTCGCGCCTTTCAGGCCAGGTTTGCCACAAGTTTGCATGCTGGCTGCGCCGGCTGAACAGTTCCGGCGAATTCGTTTTCTGAGATTCGTCTCAATGTGCAGAGGCCCAAAGAATGTGAGACATGGAAGTGGTTGGCCAAAGCAAGTTTGAGCAACAAAGGAATGAAGTTTCGAAGCCTGACGGTGCAGGTGTTGATACCCGTCCTTTCACTGATGACCTGACATCCGTCTTGACTGTGTTTCCGGCGGTTTCATGCTGAGGTGGTTCTATCTTGTCAAGCTGTGTCACACTTTCAGTGATGGAAATGGACCATGCAAGGATGCAAGGTTACTTTTATGGTCTAGCTGCTAGCTGCTAGCTCTTCCCAGCCTTCACGAATCAGAGAGATACCAACTGTCGAGAGTGTCAATGGGGCTTCCCATCGTGGGTGAGCTCAATGGTGTAGGCTGTATCGGCATCATCCTCCAACCTGACAGGATCCTTCCTGTGATGGTTCACCGCACGATACGGATGATATGTTGCCATGTTGCATCAGATGAGTCGATAGATGCGGGATCAGCCGGATCTACTCACACGCTTGCCGTTGGAGGCCATCGCTTTTAGGTTGGAGGCCACATTGGCTACCCACACGCTTGCCGCAGCAACCTTTGAAGTCGATTCAGTGTTGCTGTGTTCAGGTTGCCGTGTCGGCGGCGGCTGCGTTGAATGCCGCCAGCTGGCCCTTCCAGCCAGGTGTCATGTCTGTCACGCTGCGGTTTCGATATCACAACAGCCAGCCATGCTGCAGCCACAAAAAGAGTTGAAGGCTTTTCATAGCGCACTAGAACATCTAGAACATCCCTGTTGGAATCAATCACCCCAGTTGTTTTCACCAATCACTCCTGCCACTGTATTCCAAAGGGGATTCTAGAACGCACTTAAAGGGAATCTCTTGAGTCCAAACATCTGAGCTCTTCAATTCGACCGTCGATCGATCGAGGCGCGCCTTGCAGCGCTTCCTTCGATGAAGGCCGTCGCTTCGAAGCCCGCCGCGTGCACCGGGCCATCGCGGAGGAGGTCTCCTCACAACTCGGCGCCTCGGAAGAGGACGAAATTTTACGAAATCCCTGTTTGGGGAGCAAATGGGCCTGGGGAAGATTCTGTTTGTGAGATTTAGGGTCTGAATAGATGACTGGATTTTACAAGACCGAATATATAAATTCTTTTTATTCCCTTTCTCATCCTTTTCTCCCTTCTTTCTCTTCCAGATCGTTCCGCATCCTGCCCCCCGTCTCAGCTTGCTCGGACCTGCTGGGAGCGCTGCGGGCCTTCGGCGAGTGGCGCGCGGAGCGCCCCGCGGAGCAGCGCCGTGCCGCGGAGGCCTGGCATCTCCGGAGCTCAGCGCTGCAGGAGAGAGCGAAATCGGGGCCAAATTGTACTGGTTCGGTTCCCTACTAGCTCAGACAATAGCACAGAAAAAACAATGAAATGATGAAGAACAAACCAGACAATGTGTTCTTGGTAGCAAGGGGTGAGGTTTCATGATTGTAAGGGATTGTGAAGTTTCAGACGCTCAAGAGGAAGAGCGTGCGGCAAAATCGCAACTTCTTGAGATTGACTGCAGAATCTGAAGAACCGTTTTTAAGCACCACTGGGCCCTCGTTCTCACACTGGGCCCCACGTGCCCTTCTCCTTTGGAAAGACCAGTTGATGAGAATTCCCATATTATGTTTAGATTAGTTCTCCGAATGGCCCATAGCCTCAGGTTCGGTGGTTAGACCCCTCTAACACCCTAACCACCTTCGAAACGGAGGTAGGCCAGGAGCCCGTCTTTTTTTGGGGGGGGGGAAGACAGGCTGAGCCGTTCAGGTCAACATCACTCGCCGAAGACTTCGGCTGCTGAAGTCGCCGTTGTTCGGTGCCGGTTTCGATGGCTCCAATCCTTTGAGGGAAGACCACAAAATGGTTGTATGATGGTTTGTGGCACTTCCAAGTCTCACATGGAGTCGGTGCCATCCACTTTGAAGCCGAACATTGAGTTTCGCTCCTCGACTCCAAGGACAGTTGTACAAACCCGATACAAGCCCGATATTTACAGTTTCGTCTTGGGTTCAGGATGTTCCACAAACCCTGCTCTTGGGTAGTATTAGATGTATTAGGTGAGTTACAGCCACCCCCACCCTCCCGAATTTCCCACTCCCAACCCACCTGCGCTAAAAAAAGGAACCTCCGGCCCACCGTCCTTCTGCAGCTTGCTTGAAAAATCACCTCCCTCCACTCATCTTCCTTCATCTTCATTGGGTCCACCGGACGTCACCCTCGACGGTCACACGAGTCGGTCGTCGATGGTCCGAACCCGACGACCGGAGGAGACACTGAGTATCTGCTAATGGTACAGGATGAAATGGGCAGAACAAAAAGGAGAAACCACGACATACCAGGATGATTGCAATGGTCCAGAGACCACTAGATCTGACGAATTCATATCAACTAGAATTCCTGTTATGTTGTTTGCAAAGCCTGCCAAGACGTGAATTGGACTCCCCCTGTCGGGCATCAAACCTGCTCAAACGGCATTTGCATGCCTGATAGAACTCTGCATGCGTACATAGTGGCCGAAAATGGAAAAGCGGAGATTCGGCACGTGCTTGTAGCGGATGCTGTTCATTGGTCGTTCTAGCTGGGCCCCTGGGGGGGAATTGGTCCCGACAATGAGTGTCCAACGTCGCAACTGGACCAGTTCTTTGAAAGATGGAAACTGCTATGCTATGTGTTTGTTCCATGTTTTTGGGAGACATCCAGCATTGCATGGTCTTGGTTTGGGGGAGAGGATCTGCATCGACCAACGAACTCCTTGTGTGGTGGTTTTCCAGGAGATCGATGAGTCACGCCTTTTGGGCTGCAGATGACTCGATGGCAAAAGGGTCTTCTCTCTTTTGGAGGGGAGGCGGGAAAGGTAGTAGGGAAGCAGGCAGGGTAGGTAGCTTAGTAGCTTAAGGATTAAGTATAGCTTCAGTAGCAGGCGGCAAGGAAGCCACTGGGCTTGAGACTGAGCAGGGCTTGGATTCGGTTCCTAGATGTTTAGGGGAACTCAACTTTCAGACATGGTTTTAAAGATGTGTGTCTTTTCTTTTCTTTTCTCTTTTCATTTGGCGGTGACTCGTTCGTGGCAGTGTTTTGGCAGCTCTGTGCTTTGCTTCTTGTCCAAGGTTTACAGCTGTTAGAGATGCTGGAGCCTTTGGGACGAGACACGAGGCGAAAAAAAGAACGAGCATAGCAAGACACGAACGTTCTTGCTTCGCTTGCTTCGCTTGCTCCGTGAATGAACGAAAACACGGAATCAACAAGGATGGGAAAAGGGTTGTTTCTGCCGCATGATGCACGCTCCCTTTGCCCTCTTCAGGCACTGTGGCTTGGGCGGTTCGAACGGAGAATTAGCACCCTGCCTGGCTGGACTTCTTTGTGCTGTGTCTCGGCTTTTGAGATGGACAAAAGAGGCAAAAAGCAGGAAGTGTTGAGCAGATCACCTAGAAATGATTGTGGTGGGAAGTTACATAGGGGAGCTTTGTCGTGTATTGGGAACCAGTATGAGACATGGAGAAAGTAGATCCAAAGAAATGTTTGCGATTGTAGACGCAAAGGAAATGAAAAGGAAGAAAGGAACGGACAAAAAAGAATGGTTATAATGTCCAGAGAAGAAAGACAGAAAAAGTATGTAAAAAGAAACCAGTTTTCCTTTTGGCCCGCGCCTAATTTCTGAATTAAGTAGGCGCTTACTCGATTAGTCAAGGGAGAAGTAAGCTACTAGGCTAAGTTATCTTCTGGTAACTGGACGCAGGATAGCTCACGCTCGCACTAATGATGTGGGTAGATTGTGATGGAAAGAAACATATTGTGTGTTTTCTTGTTTTGCGATTTTTGTGCAAATCTATTTCATGACTGACACTGCTAAGGCATCCTTTCCACAGCTGGCGTTAGCCATTCCCAAGGACCAGTGGACGGGACGGGGAAGTGGACAGGACCTTTCTTTTTGCCTTTCTTTCTTCCTTCCTGTGCCGTTTTCTTTTTGACATCAGCATCTGTGCAGTGGCTGAGCATTTCAATAGCCGTGTGCGGCCGTGAGTGTCTAGGAGACGCTTTCCTCGCGGATGGGTACAGGGGCAGTGCTGTCGGAGCTCTTCGTACACGAGAAGGGTGAGCCCGTCCGGAGTAGTGTCATCCTTGTGGGCGGTTGCTATTGGGTTGGAGGCCATCGCTCTCAGGAGCAAGGGCGCTACTAGTGGCTCCTGGCATCACTGCTAGTAACAAGAAGCTACTAGGAGCAAAGGGCATCGCTACGAACGGAGCAAGGACGCTTGTAGGTTGGAGCCCATTGCTACTCTTAGGCTGACCACATCCTTCGCCGACCAAATGTGATCTCCATCTCGTGTGTTCAATTCCGACGGATCGTCTGAACCGCTTGAAGCCTCGTGTCATCTCCTTGGCCGCCTCACCCGGCCAAAACGGATCACCCCGCTCCTGTCGTCACAGCCAATGAGGTACCTTGGTGCCAGTGCAGGTGCACCCATCTTCCATATCAGCAAAGGAAAAGATCTTCGGAACCCCGTTCGTTCTCTATGAGGAGACTGTCTATCATCGATTTTCCAGTTTTGCTACAAGTCTTCAATGATGTTCAATGTATATATTCCCAACAGACCAAGTTTGGTATCAAAGAAAGGTATGAAGCAATCAGAGCGCAGCACATCTCAAGAAAAAGAAGGGAATAAAGAAAAAGAAATTTTAGGAAGAACATGGAAGACATATCTAAAGAACGAAATGCATGTCAGAAATTAACAAACCTATAATATAGAAAGCATATATGTTTCTTCAGTTTCGTTGTCTAGCTTGCGTGCATCGGAGCAGGTCATAGTAAAGAGAATAAAGGAACAGGATTGAAGACGGCAGACTCTCAGCTCTTTGCTCGATGTCGCACGTGTCGAGGAGTTGATTGAGACAACACGGCTCTATGTGCGCTGCATCACCTGCATACCACCCTTGACTTTGCTCCCTGGTGAAGTGCCTTCAGAAGTTGCTCTGAAACTTGAGGCGATTGAAGTGCAACATGTATGAGCCAATGTATGTCAATGTATGATCAACGAGAAACATGTGGATGTCCTTAGAGAGACCTCCAGTTTTCCATGAGAAGACCATATATATTAGGAGCGCCTTGGAAAATCACAGAGTCAGAGATGAAAGTGGATCCTTCGCACTCCCAAGGCTTTTGTTCGGCGGCCTGCTCTCAGAGTCCGAGCAGCTGAAGAGCAATCCCTTGGGGGAAGAGGCGGCATGAAGCGGACAGTGGCCATGAAAAGCGGATGATCGAACGCGGCTAGGACACAGTGGCCATTCCGTCGAACGTGCCAAAAAGAGGCACTTTTGAACCGAGTAGTCCGTATGGGGCTTCTGTTTTTCGGACTGCCCGAGGTCCCTTCCCGAATCGACGTGGCGAGGTCGACGGTCGTCCCTTTCGTCTTCAGTGAGACTTTCAGTTTAAAGACTCGAGTTCTCCAAGGGCGCTTTTAGGTGGAGGCCAGCGCAAATAGGTTGGAGTACGGTTGTAGGCCATCGCTACTAGGAACAAGAAGAGTGTCCTCAAAAAAGAACTACTCGTAACAAAGAGCATCGCTACTAGGAGCAAGAAGCTACTAGTAGCTCCAGGCCTTACGACTATACTTGTAGGAGCAAGGACGCTACTAGTGTCCTCGAAAAAGCATGAAAAACGCTTCACAAATAAAGAAAACACGTCCCGCGAAGGGGAACGGAACCCTATCGATCCGAAGGGCGTCCGTCGTTTTTTTTTGTCTACCCGAGAAGACGAGTTCGTACCGGGTTCGATTCTCGATTTCGTCGGACCTCGGACTCGACTCTGAGTCTCCTTGCTTGGCCAGGCCTTTTTGCAGCTGGGCTCATTCAAGTGGATTCTTCCGAAGGAGCTTTCGGACCAGATGCTCGGCATGGACTGCCCGCACTCATAAGGGCTACCTCCAAACAGAAGGGCCACCGACTCTTTGGTGCGAAGGGCCTCATCGACTTTGGGGTTCTGTTAACTTCACAAACTTCATCGAACTTCACACTTCGTCGAAGAGAAACACCTCTTTTTTTTAAGCTGCACAATAAGACCTCGACCTCGACCCTCGACTCGTGTGATCGATCCAAGCTCCGTTCTGGTCTGAGGATTCTGGAGATTCGACGTTTGCTCGAAGGCTTCCTCCAAGCTTGGATGCTTGGAGCATCCGAACTCTCCGAGGACTTGGAGAAGGCCCTCTTGGAGGTCTTGAGGCCTGGGAGATCCACCATGGATGGATCTTAGACCTTGGTCCTTTATTGAGATTGGGAGGATGACACTTGATGACTCAGATATGACGCATTCAGCTATGTGACAGACTGAGTCGGAATACAGATCATCTAGCCAAGAGTCGTTGTTCCTCGTAGCTCGAACATGTTCAGCCCGTAGCAAGTACTAGCGTTGTTTTCTGCGAAAGACTGATGGACCAGCGAAACTGTTGACCTCAGCCTATCGGGCCTGTCGGGTGGAGGCAACCAACAGAGATGATCAACTGAGATGAGACTCTTCATGTTCGAAATGCAAAAAGGTCTGCAGGAAAAAATGAAAAGAGCAGACAAAGGTGACAAAGGGATCAAGAAGATAAGAAGGAAATAGAATGATTCCATGTTCGGCTGCACTTGGCTGTGCGTACATGCCAGAGTGCACTTGCAGGGTCAGCTACTTTGCGTCAGAAGCTTGCAACTGCGACTAAGTCAAGGAAGTCGCAGACTACACCAGTGGCGCTTTTGAGAAAATGCAAATCATCAGGGCTCCGAGATGTTGACCCAGAACATCAAGTTCATCACGATCTCCTCGAGCACCACCCACACATCATTTTCTGCAGTGGACGTTTCAGCTTTGGGTGAACTAGTAGATCAATGTCCACAACTGTCGGTGATCATGAGTCATCGTCCTTCCCGAATCTTCGAATATCTCTTGTTGCTTATTGACACAAAGCGATTTGACTGCCGCATGATGACAAAGTGACCAACAGGCCCTTGCTGTACATAGACTCATGTTGCAGCGAAGTCCGGCCAAGATGGTCATGGACTTTGCCATAGAGCTTGCTTGAGCTTGAAAAAAGAGTATGCCAACTGTTGCTTCAGCGACATAGATTGTTTGAGTGAACAAAATGAGGCAGCGATGGTATGTGAAGGGCAGACGTTTATCCAGCCGTTTTTGATCCCCTGGCAGGTTCGTGACGCGTCATGAGTCGGGGCTGAACGCCAGCAAAGGCAGTAACAAGGCTGAGAAGGCCCACGGTGGAAGCCGCTTTTCACGTTCAGATGCATCTAAAAGGTCTTAGATGGTCTGAGGTGAATGTTAAACCTACCCCAACGTCATAGGGATTTGGTTGCAAAGCTTTCTTAGAGGATTCACGTTCTGCACGGCCTTTCCCCTTGGCACGTTCCAAAAAGCAATCACGGCCAGGAGAAGGCCGACAAAGAGGCAGCCGCACGAGAAGCGAATCCCAAAATCGAACAAACACGAAGAGACTTTTGGTCAAAAGTCCAAATCCTGTGGAGTAAAGCAAAGATGAAGGAGAATGTCCCTTGATGTTTGATGCCAGGGCAGTCTGAATGCTGTAGATGAACACTTCATAGAACTACAGGTCGTTCCATGCCCCTGAGGACTCCAAGAAAGACGACAACAGCTGAGAAGAGATAGGAGCTTCGAGCTTATCAGTATGTTTTGCGGAACCTCCAGACTCTAGCAGTCAAACATGACAGTTGGACTGGTTTGGGTCACGACCTCCACTGGAGGACGCAGAATCACAATGGCAAAAGACACCAAACCATTCTTGTTTGGATCAAGCCAGTATTGCCTCGAAGAGTAGAGTAGATCGTGCCTGAGCTCAGCAGAAGGTCCTTCAGTACGAGCATATTTGCAACATCAGAGGCTTCTAAAGTTGATGTTCAAGACCAAGGGATTCTCACAGTTTCTGCATGTTTCTGCTATTGCAGACACTAATTTGTCTTTTTGCGCTTGTTAACTTTTGTAGCTTGATCGTTCAAGCCTGCCCTGCTCTCTCCAGGATGACGTCATCAACGGGTGAAGAGGCCTCTCTGGAGGGGATGTCGGGCCGAAATTCGCTTTGGTGTCCAGAGCTACAAACAACAGACCACAAGGACATCATTCAAACAAAAAAACGCGCAACTCACCTGAAGTTGTGGGCCACGCCATGCTTTGACACCCTATGTGGCTGTAGCTTTCACCTGAGCCATCTACAAAGAGTGGATGGTGGACTTTGCGCGGGGAAAGAAAGAAAGATAAGGAGGATGGCAGGATGGCAATGAATGGCCTGTTGCATAATAACGCTTGAGGAGCTTGTTTCCGTATAACAAGAGGGTGAATTGCCTGTTGATTGCATCGTCGTTCTTTGCTAGGCTCACTGCACGTGTACGGTCGCTTGCCATGACATTGACGTTGTCCTTGCTGGACCTTGTTTGTTGTTCATGCGGTTGGTGGGATCATTCAGCAGAGGATGTAGTACCTGGCCACAGGACATCCGCAATGGAAGTTTAGAGTGAGTGTAGAGGTTTCATTGCAATTGTGGAACTCTTCAAGAAGCACACCGCAAAATTCTTGTACGGGTCTAGGGTTCCGTGAGAAAATTATATATCTGCGACTGCAAAATACTGCAAATGTCTTGCGGCTCAATGCGGTACAGGTAGAGGTTGGTCACGTAGAGAGGGCGCAAGTGAGGAGGCCTTGGGAGGGAGTACAAAAGCAGTGTTTCTTAGCTTCTACTCGTACTAGCGATGGCCTCCAACCTAACAGCAATGGCCTCCAACCTAATTGTAATGGCCTCCAACCTAGAAGCGATGGCCTCCAACCTAATTGTAATGGCCTCCAACCTAACAGCGATGGCCTCCAACCTAA